GGAACCCAAATATTGACTAATTAGACTCAAGCGACCAAATTATGGTGAAAAAAAAAGGGGAGGCAAAGATAGGTATAACGCATTAATTTAATGCGCTATGTATGTTCCTTTTTTTAACGGACGTCGTTAACGTCCCTCTTTCTTTGTTCTTGAAATACACGTGGCGCAGATAAATAGAATATAATGTACAAAAAGAGAAGCAGAGTGCTAGGTGGTGCAATGGTTAAAGGCTAGATATAAAGTTGGTTTTTGCCTTGAGGTCCAAGGTTCGATTCCTTCCACCAACAATATTTTGTTTTTCTTTTTCGTTTTTCATTTCTTTTCATTATTTGGTTTAAGTATTTAGATATAAATACTTTAATATTTATAATTACTTATCAATGTAATTAAAATCATTTAATATTTATTAGAAAATTATGATTTTTGAATTCACTTAAAGTATAAAAAAAAGAATCCTTTTATTAATTCGTTAAAAAAATCTACCGATATTTTTAATAGTTGTTATTTTGTATTATATGCAAAATAAAGTTATTTCTTTTCTCATTTTATTTTCAAATTAGAATTATGAGTTTTATTTTATAGTTAAAATTTCCATAAGAGAAATTTAATTAATATATACAGTATAATCTATTGCTTAGAATTTTTATTTTTAAATATTTTTCTTTTAAAATTTAATTATTAAAATTTTAGTTATATTTACACTATATGAATTTTATTAATCAAAATTCTAATTATATTTTTCATATTTTTTATATTTTTCCTGAAATGTATTTTTATTTCTCCTTTTATTCCTTGGCTATTGTAATTGTATTATCCATTTAAAAATTTTAAATAAGAATATGGTTGTTCTTATTATTAAACATAAATTGATTATAACCATTTAATTTTTAAAATTATAATCCATTAGGATTATTATTAGCTAAGTAATGGAATATAATTCTTATATTCTTATTAGGAAAACTAATTAAATGGTTGCTCATAGACTAATTTTTTTCTAATAAGAATTATCCTAAACTAAACTGATTATAACCATTTAATTTATGAACAACCATTTAATTAATTTTTCTAAACTAAATTTTCATAAACTAAACTGTATTATAACCGTTTAGTCCTGATAAGAATATGAAAATCATAATCCATTACTTAGCTAATAATAAATCTTGGATTATAATTTTAAAGATTAAATAGTTATAATTAGTTTATATTTAATAATAAGAAAATTATAATATTTATAATTAGAATTTCGATTAATAAAATTCATATAATGTAAATATAACTAAAATTTTAATAACTAAATTTAAAAATAAAAATATCAAAAAATAAAAACAAATTCAAGCAATAGATTAAACTGCATATATTATTCTCTTATGAAAATTTTAACTATAAAATAAAACTCACAATTCTAATTTGAAAATAAAAAGAGAAAAAAATAATTTTGTTTTACGTATAATACAAAATAACAACTATTAAAAATATCGGTGGATATTTTTAACGAAATATTAAAAGGCTTCTCTTCTTTTTTTTGTTTTACTTTAAATGATTTCAAAAATCATAATTTTCTAATAAATATTAAATTATTTTAATTACATTGAAAAGTAATTATAAATATTAAAGTATTTATATCTAAATACTTCAACCAAATAATGAAAAAGAAATAGAAAAACAAAAGATTGTTTGTGGCAAGTATCGAACCTTGGACCTCAAGGCCAAAACTAGCTCTATTGCCAGCCTTTAACCATTGCACCACCCAACACTCTGATTATCTTATAGTACATTAAATGCGTGTTATCTGCGTTTCCTGTGCCATGTGGATTTCAAGAACAAAGAAAGAGGGACGTCAATGCCGTCCGTTTAAAGAAAGGGACATAGCGCATTAAATTAATGCGTTATACCTATTTTTGTCTCTCCTTTTTTCCCGCCATAGTTTGGTCGCTTGAGTCTAATTATACAGTATTTGGGTTCCGGACTCGTGTGCCTCATGGCCCTCATCCTTTGGAGTTCTTTGGTTTGAGTTTTCTATGTTGACTCCAAGTGATTAAAGTGAGTGCCGCTAACAATGTATGGACTTATTAAATGCATGTTATCTGCGTTTCCTGTGCCATGTGGATTTCAAGAACAAAGAAAGAGGGACGTCAACGCCGTCCGTTTAAAGAAAGGGACATAGCGCATTAAATTAATGCGTTATACCTATTTTTGTCTCTCCTTTGGAGTTCTTTGGTTTGAGTTTTCTATGTTGACTTTAAGTGATTAAATGCGTGTTATCTGCGTTTCCTGTGCCATGTGGATTTCAAGAACAAAGAAAGAGGGACGTCAACGCCGTCCGTTTAAAGAAAGGGACATAGCGCATTAAATTAATGCGTTATACATATTTTTGTCTTTCCTTTTTTTCCCGCCATAGTTTGGTCGCTTGAGTCTAATTATATAGTATTTGGGTTCCAGACTCGTGTGCCTCATGGCCCTCATCCTTTGGAGTTCTTTGGTTTGAGTTTTCTATGTTGACTCCAAGTGATTAAAGTGAGTGCCGCTAGCAATGTATGGACTTATTTACTGGAAAATCTTAGAAGTATATAGATGTCCATGTTTAGGCTACATATCAGCTAACATACTCCTATTCCGGAGCCTCTGGTGTGGATCTATTGATGCTATAAGGAAAGCTCTGTTTTGATTTCAATGTGTTCTTAATTACTTCATGTAGTCTCTTTGCTTGATGTGTAGATATGAAGCAAAATCTGGCAGTGCATGCCAAAATGCATTTTGTTCCAAAATTTAACATATGAAATAGACACAATTTAGATCTTACTTCTATCTTTGCTTTTCTGTGCATATTTCGGCCCCAGATTCGTGTGAAGTATTGGTAGCAACGCGGTATTTCCTTTCTACTTGTGAAGCAATATGTTGTCGTGGCCGATGGGAAGGGCTCAACTTGGCTGTGGCTCTGATCAGCAAGCTGATAATTGTAAAAAGATTTGGGAAGTTGTGAGTGGTGAAGACGAGCAGCTCTTAGCAATGGAGATTGGGCATTAGAAGAAAACATTGAGATAACAGGCAATTGGGGCCGTCCTCTTCATATTATTTTTGTGTCTGTCTATGTGTGTACAAGTAAGTGGGAGCCTGCTGTAAAATGTGTGGAAGAATACACTTTATTTTTTTCAATTCCTCATGAACTTGAAACCAACCAGTTGGGATTAAAATTTGATTAATTATTACATTTACATTAGATATGGAGTTTGTTAGGCATGTTCTTAGTCTTGTTATATACTTGTATGGCAATGTAAATAAATGAGAGACTTCAAGAATCTCTAGTCCTAAAAGATAAATTATACTCATTCAATATTGAAATGAGTAGGTTCCTATATTGCAAAATCGTTACGAAGGATTGAAACAGTGAATATTTACTAGTTTGTGAGTGAGATATAGTTTATCAATTGATGGACCATTTTTTTTTTCTTTTCGAATTGCACCATCAGCTAAGCTTTTAATGGCACTATAAAGAAATATACTTAGTTTCAGAACAGTTCTCCTCACTCATGCATTCGTTTAACAAGTTTTTTTCTTGATCAGACTAGAGCAGTTAGAATTAGTGAGATAAGTACTTAATAAGACGCATAAAAAGCTGTAGCAGTTTGGGGGTGGGTGATTTCAGTAGGTGTCGTGTTTGGATAATATTTGAGTTGAAAAGAATCCGTGGAAGTAAAGCCGTGTTTAAACATGAATTTTACATGGAAGAGAAGTTTGTAACAAGTTCAAGATTTGTAATAATATTTAATTTGGTTGTAGTTCTTACCACTTAATTTATCTTTTTAAACTTAGAGAAATATTTGGCTTCATAAATTATGTTTTTTTAGATACCAAAGATTGATGGTTGGTTGTGAAGCAATTACAAAGGCAATAAGAAGATCAGAGAGATGAAGCAAAATGCTTAAAAGTTCTGTATCTGTTCAGAAAAAATTGTGTAACACATTGGTCGCTGACTCGTATCTATTCGATTTTAAGGGCAGAAAGCAGGTTAAATATGAAGAAAACGTAAAATATTATTGGCCCATGCAGGTCTCGAACCTGCGACCTTCGCGTTATTAGCACGACGCTCTAACCAACTGAGCTAATGGGCCTTAATGCTCCTTACCCTCTATAAGTATTTTAATCTAAATTAAAATAGTTCCGGATTAAGTAATCCCTTTTTACTCCTAATATATTTTTCTTTTCGTGAACTTTTATACAAATATTTTCGTAAAATTTAATTCTAAACCTAATTCAGATGTCATCTACGGTAGTCATAGATTTACCTTATTGAAATAAAAAAAACTGCTATCCAAAGAAACCAAGATTCTAGCTATGATGAATAGCTACAGATTTTTCAAGCCTAATTAGCATTAAGGATTATTTTAACTTTAATCTAATTCCATTTTCAAGGTAGCATACATGTTGGCGTAAACTTGTTCTCCTTTAGTTCCATATTCCTCAAGGAGGGGAAAGTAGTACGTATATAGGTGCTAGGCAGTACTAATGTCCATAGGAGTACAGTAATTGATTTGGTGCCTATGGAATTCAACTTTTGCCTCTGTGGCGACAAAACTTTCAATAAATTTACACTTCTCTTTTTTTTTTAACGATGGTGGTGTTTGGATCTGCTTGTGCGTGCTCGACTAATTCCATCGATTAGCTGCTACCTCCCACAAGCAGCAATTATTATGCCATGAGATTTTTCTCTAATGAGTCTTTCTCATGATTGAATGGATTCTTCTTTTTCGTTTTCTCATGATTGGTAGTGTACCTTTAAAAGCACAATGGGTTAAATATTGAATCTTGGATCTTTTCTTTTATGAGCTAGTACTTGTTTAATCAGGAAACGTGAAGAAAGACTAGCAGTATGTTAGATAATCCATAACAACTATCAACCTAGCTAGATGCCTTTTGAACCACGGCGCTATTCATTTTCAAGTTGATGTAAATGAGTTCACCAAGATCTGATGGTTACATGCTCTCCTTTTGACTTCATAATGTCACAACTGTTGCTGCAATGGCAACTCCAACAGCAAGTCCTGCCTTAGGATGAATAGAAACAATATGCATCTAAATGCATGATGAGTGGGCTTAGTTTTTTAACAAAATGCTTCCTCCTATAGCAAGTTTCAACTCTCTCACTAAATTTTATCCAAATTCTGAAATCTAGTCTTACTCCTAGTTGTCAAAAAAGAAGAAAGAGATAGAGAGATGTGGTCTATACATGAAGCTTCCACCTTTGTAAAACCCAATAATAAATGACTCACTTGAGATAGGATATTGCTACTTGAATATATAACAAGATTAGTCGGACTTATCCTTTTTAACTTAGGGAGGACCGGGACAATTTGCCAACCAACCATGTCAGCCGCTTCTCAACTTTGAGAGATAAGAATAACTCCCTAGCTGCACGATTGTAGAAGAGATCCAAACCAGCATAATACACTTGCTCATCGACACCTTCCAATTCATCCAAAGCTCTAATACAGTCGGTTATGCTGAAATTTTCATTGCACTTGTTCATAGCAGATGCTCTAAGTCTTGAAGCAGCAGCCATCTCAGATATAGCTTTTGCAATAGCACCATCAACCCCCTTACGCCCTCTCTTTCGACATACTATATCAGTAGGTGAGCTCACAGACTGAAGAATTTCTTGCTCATTGGAATCGGGAACTTCTTCAGACTCTGAATATGACAACTCTTCCTGAGACAGTGTTGAACCGGGGAGACAGTCCTTGTGTCTAGTAGATCCATTATACGTCCCTTTACTTCCAGAATCCGCAAATATCACGCTCAGCTCCTTGTAAAATGGGCAGCCTGTGCTCCTTATGGTCTCTGCATCTGGATTATCCTGATTAATACATGTCAAGGAGAGTTTTGTGACGGATGGTTTCTGAAGAACAACATCAGACTCTACTAAAAATGAAAAATATTGCTAAGGTAAACCGTGATCCATCAATAGATCACATAGGCATTGGAAAAGAAAGTCTTATTCACAAAATTCTTCTGTGCGTTGGGAAATTAAAAGAAAATAAAAAGTAAAAGGAGAGTTCAACTTGCAAACACAAATGACAAACGTGTTCTAGCAGCTAAAGGTGTTTTTGTTCAAAATAGACAACACGGGAAAACAAACCTTGATATACTTGTCCCAAGCTTCATCTGTTGCTGTTACTAAACCTGTAATTTCCTCCCATTTGAAAGCACTATGATCAAGTAGCAACTTCATAGTAGCAAACTGCTTTCTTAGTGCAGCATATCGATACTTTAATTGCTCCCTCTCCCATGTAAGATCGGTTCTTTTATGGAATTCATCACAAATGCATTTCCATCCTTTCTTACTAAAAGACTTGTTTTGCATATGCCCTTCATGAACTTGGTCGACCATTACCTCCAGCATTGTCTTGGTAAGAGATGTGGTCCACTTTGCTCTACACTGGGATTCCCGCTGCTGCATAGATTGCTGTGTTTTGGAACGAGTAGACCTCCCACTCCCAGCCATCTATTTGATTGAGTAGAAATACAATGTGGACAAGTTACAGCAGTATTATACCTAAAAATGACAAGTAAGATCAGTCGCAGAAATTCAAGCATGAATATTTGCATTTTCTTTCGTATAGCTTCATAAGCTTGAAAGAGCGGTTCAAAAATCCTAGTAACTTTCGAACTTCTATCTCAAGAGAAAGGCTTTTTGTCTTCATAGATTAATACATGTATCGCCAAAGACACTTGCATTGACTAATTAGTATTTACCCAGGGGTTATTCACAGAGTAATGCAAACCGGGGGTGGAGCTAGTAAGAGGGAATGAGATTCACTTCCCTTCGTCGAAAAATTATACTATGCAAACAGGGTAAAAATAGTTCTTTTTTTTTTTGGTTATTATACAAATTGTTGAATCGCCGGGAAAATTCTAGTGTAATGGTAAAGGGGATTAAAAAGGCTTTAAGTCTCAAGTTTGAATCCCAACTATGCCATTCTAATAAATTTTTGAATCCCCTTATATAAATTTCTAGCTCCACCTCGGATGCAAATTACCCGAGTTCAGAACAGGTAACTATAATTAAAAGGAGAAAACGGTCTCCTTTAGTTAGCAAAAAAACTACTATATATAACAGTGAGAAATTCAGTTCACAGAGAAGGTGAATTGACTTTCAAGAATACCCACTTCTCCATCTGGTAATTGGCAACCCAGGGTAATGTTAACCTTTTTCAACAGTTTCCATCTGGTAATTCTGACACATTAAACATTAAAAAAAAGGAATACATGCATAAATATCAATTTCATTCAAAAAGACCAATGAGCTTTAGAGATTACAACTTCACTCTGGCCACTTAGGTACATGATTCAAATCTCGCCTTACCCCTCTAATCTCGCGCCAAAAGTTAACAAAATCAAAGAAAACCCAATTCGAATTTAATTAAGCCTTAACCCCATTCTAGAATTCAAACAGCTTGTGGGTTTGATCCTATTGCAGTGAATTTCCAGTTTATACAACAAGACCTTTGTTCGTTCAAAATCTAATTAGAAGTCAATGGCAGGCTATAATTGGCGATAAAGACAACCCTAGAAATTCTAAGAAACAGAAGATAGATTATGTGATTTTTATATGAGAATGCAGGCGAATAATAATAATATATCGAACACAAAAAGAAAAAAAAATAAGAATTTACCTCTGAAGGAACTGGTGCTATAGAATTGTCCTACTTTCGTTACAGTAAAGAGGTGGTTTTCCCCTAAACGAGAATTTCGGGCATCCAAACAGGGCATTGTCTTTTCTCCTTGTGCGGGTAACAGTTTTGTTTAGGGACCCGCAATCTTTTAAGAATTTGCACTTATACCCTTAACTTTAGACAGTACCGAAAAATGGACCGAGGTAATTACTACGCTTTTGCGACAGGTCCCTTAACCAAAGCATGATTCTAGTCTCCTTGACTCTTTTTTTTTGGTTCCTTCTGATCGAAATATCTACTTTGGTAACTAATAATTCCATCTTTTCTGAAAAATATATTTCCGATTGCTTAAATATACGTACTTCCGATAGATTGGAAAAGCGAAATAAAACGTTCTTAGTAATGCGACTGTCTTTTATTACATTTTTGCTTTGGACATTCATCATTGCTATAAATTAGATGTGTTAATCCATACTTCGAATTATAATATTCTTGCAAGGAATATTAGTTTGTGCGTATTTCAGCAATACACATCAATTTTCCTTTATGTATCAATGAATTCCGCCTTTCGTGAGCTTGCTCATATTGTCGGTTTCAAATTCAAACAAAGAAAAAATTAATGTAAAACTTGCCAATCGTTTAGAACTGAGGAATATTTGTTGTTGTTATGTTCCAGTGGGGCAAGCAACGGAAGGGGCAATGGAGATGGAGAAATCGAATAGCCAGTAGTAGCAGAAGCAGTTACACTTACGTGCCATCATTGCATAACGTAAAGAGGTTTAGTACTTGATTTAGAAAGGCCATGTGTGAGGTCCCCTTTTGGCTAATGATGTCGCGAGATAATTCCATATATTTTGACATTATTTACCTTACTTGATTGTTGTTTGGATGATAATTTGTGCGACGATTGCGCTTAATAGAGCTTATTTTATGTATAGGAATGCTTGGACATGAATTGGAGAAAAGTTGCATGAAATGGTACCTCAGAGCTACAAAATGGAGCAATAAAAGAAGACGTGCAAGGCAACGAAAAGTCAGTGCCATAGACAGTGACTTGCGCAGTAACAACAGTGCCATAGACAATGCAAGGCATTGTCCAGGGCACTGTCATCAGTGCCATAGACAGTGCCTTGCACCGAAAAGACAATGCTATAGACAGTGCCTTGCACCGAAAAGACAGTGCTACAGGTAGTGCAAGGCGCCAACAATGCTATCCAGAAAAAAAAAGTTTAAGTCCTCATTAGTATTGGACATGTAAATTCGACCCTTACCCTATAAAATATAAATACCCCTAAAAGTTAGTTTTTGAAGGGTTAGATATCATTAGAGAGGCAAGAGGCTACAGAACACTTTGGAAGCACGGATCACTCGAGTTTTTTTCTCTCCGCTTTCCTTTTACTTGTAGTTTAATGCTTCTAGATATTACTATGATTATTTATACAGTTATGAGTAGCTAAACCCGTTATCTAGGGTTGATGGAACCAATTGTTGGATGAAGTCTTGATTGTGTTTTGATATAATTGAGTCGTTATTACTCTTTAATTGTTCAACTATATGTTTCTTGTGATTAATTGAAGGACCCTTGATTAATCGTGTCTAGTTATCTTGTATTGCTTTAGAAAGAACATTTGATTAGTTTGTTGTTGAACAACGCCACTTTCGAGTAAGTTAAGAGATTAATTACTTGAATTTAAAAGCGGGATTAGAGATAACGAAGCTTTGGCGTGATATTTATGAGTTGTAAAAATTGTCAACCAGAGTAGTTCGAGAGAATACTTCTAGTAAATTATCGTAATTGATCGAGAGATAATTACGATAAACAAGGACTCATCATCTTTAGAGAGTGTTACGGCGAGATTATAACTAACATGTCAGGAATTAATCCGACAATTGGGGAAATCGTAAACCCTAGATCCTTTTATCCTTGAATTCAACTTCATTCGTGCTAATTGATAGTTTTTATTGTCTATTCTCCTTAGTTAAGTAATTTTTGTTAATTCATAAATCAATTCTTGAACTCTGAAAGTTGTTTGAGCTTATCATTAGCGATACTAAAAAGTTGTAGCAAATAGGTTAGTTCCATGTGGGATTCGACTCCGGACTCTTGAACCGAATTATTTTTGCAGTGACCGCTTAATCCTTTTTATAAGGCTTAGTTGGGCGTGATCAGCTAACCACGAACCACCAACACTCTACTGGTACTATACTCAGAGTGAGCCAGTGGGGGGAGACAAATATTGCAAATAACGAAAAAGATGGATTACAAGCAATTATCACGTGCATAAGGTTAACCACTTTGTTTTTTTGTAAGTTAAATAATTTTATTAACAATTGGGAAGAACCTCGGAGAACATACACCAAAATATGGTTCTCAACAAAAGAGACTTAATCCTCTATACAAATATGGACCTTACAAGTAAACCAAAAAGAAACTGGAGACAAAAGGCTACTTTGCAACTTGACAAAATCTAGTTCCACCCCTACAAAAGCCCTTCTATTTCTCTCTTTCCAAATAATCCACATGAGTGCTAAGGGGGCAACATTCCATGCTCTTTAACCACTTCGTTTTTATAATAGTGATATCTAACCAGCTTACAAGCACCTCGACTATTTCACTAGAAATATATTACTTCTAAATAGCTAAGGTACCTAACAAGGCAGATAAATGAGAAGAAATCACGTAATGTTTTTTGTCTCTACTAGGATTTGGGAATCCCGGTCTGACGATTTTAACCCACTTAATTAACCAATAGGCCACATCCTTAGCTGTGAAGCTTGCCACCTTAACACAACATGCAGTACCAACAAGGGAGAAAAGGAGACAAAAATGTCATGCCTGGTTTATATCAAGTACCCTTTGGCAAATCATTAGGCATAAAGATGAGCAGACTAAAGTACCATGATATATCTATTCACAATAGATGCTTGAAAAGCTCTCCACAACCTATAGCAAACATGCATGCAACCAAATTCACTGTTTTAACCATTCATTTTAATTCAACAAATTCCAGAGCAATAACACAACTTTGGTCTTCTTCCTAAAAATAGCTAGCCTTTGCAATTCTTATGTAATTAGACAGCTATAAAATAATTACTAGAGATCCTAGTAGGCATAAAGAGTCAATGGCGTATTTTGTTGCAATGTTGAGCTCATTACTTGTTTTTGCAATCTACCCTCAAGAGTCAAGGGAATGCCGTAGTTCAAATTACTATGCTAAAACATGTCATCGGGCCGAATACACTGTCAGACAAGTTGAGGAACTTGACAGAAAAAGATGGTCCCTCTAATTCTTTGCATGCATTCAATGTCATTGATAATGTGAAGAAAGCAGTTGAAGCAGTTGAAGCTCTTTGCCCCAGCATAGTCTCATGCGCAGATATTTTAGCCTTTGCTGCGAGAGATGCAGTGGTGATAGTAAGTTTCCCCCCTAGGAAAAAGCACACAGAAAGCATGTAAAGAGGACACAAATGCACTGGTCACTTCTATTGATGAGCAGTTAATGATTAGTTGATCACAAGTTATTTACATCGAAACCTGAATGATTACAAACCATGAAATCCTTTCGAAAATAAAAACGAGAAAAAGACTGCAGGAAAGATTTCTAAAGAGTGCTATATAGTTGACAAGTTTTGGATCACTTACAATGGAAGAAGTAAAATATGTAAGCTGGACCTAGTATTTGGCACCATCACACTTGAGTTCAGTCACATCAATTTTGTATCGTCTCTGTTTGCTGTGTCCAAAATAATCTCAGCCAATTGAATGTTACCACTCAAACTAGACATCTTGTGTGATGGCATGAATGAGAACCCATCAAGAAGCTTAACACACTTCAGGCCCCATTTTACCATCAAGAATCCAATTAGGTGATGCCCACTACACATGGTTTAAAGCAATCAGAGGAAACATTTCCCTTGGGAATTGGATCATCTCTACATCTGAATGAGCTAATTACACAAGAAAATAATCCTTAGCTGAGCCTAAAGCGAGAAGAGAGGACAGAAACATACCTTCTGTTATGATATGTAGTAATAAAGACAGATGATGGACAATTCTGGAGTAAAAATGCCACAGTTGCAAAGAGATCATCAAAGGCTTGGTAAGCATGCAAGATAGACATTTCAACTTCAGTAGGCAGATCCAGAAAGGAAGGAAATAACAAGATAAATAAGGAAATAAACCTACCACAACTGTCATATAGGACATCAGCTCCAAGGATAATGTTTGGGCACAGAGAGAAGGTTTGTGCATCCCACACACCCCATGTAAGTCCATGTATCTAGAAGATAAAAATGAGAAAAACAATTCAACAACAGTATGAGCAACGTGAAAATGGAAGACTTCAAATAGATATCCCGCGCAAAATCAAGACAAGAAACAAGACCTTCATAAAGCCAACAGAGGAGAAATGCATAAAACTATCACTGTTCCAAGGCATTCTGCACGCTCTTAGATACTCAAGTAAAACTCACGCATTTTAACCCTTCTACACAAAATGTGTCATGTGGAATGACAAGTTGCATATAGCAAATGAAAGCGTGTGGATTACCTTGCACTTGATATCATTTAAGTCGCACTGTCTTCTCATATGAGTGAGCACCTGTAGGTCCACAAACAAGCAGTTATAGTAAAACTGATAAGTATCTTGGTGCAATTTTGAAAGCTCTAGGTGCTGACTAATAAGTCCCACATAATTTTGAGACATTCTTATTCAGGGTAGGTGCTTCCTAGCCTACTCACAAACATCTATAGCTTAGTCATTCAATTACATCAGTCACCAGTGCAACTTCAGATTGTTGTTTAGTAATATTGAAGCAGCAGATGAGTGTGGGAGAACAGGATCAATGGCAGCTCTATTTCCAAAAAGCATCCTTGGACAAAACCTACAAGTTAAAAACCAGAACAATCCAACAGTTTCTGTAAGCATATTACTTTGAGTTACCAGCACGGTTGTCCCCAACTTGTTTGAGACTGAGGCATAATTGTTGTTGCTGTAACCAGAACTGTTGTGAGGACAACATATTTTTAATGACAATAATGGCCTCAAATATACACGAATGCTCCAAGGAAAGAAATAGCTAAGCAAAATAAAGAAGAGAAAAGAAAAGGTCAAGCACTTCTTTGTTATCAATAATTCCTAATACTTAATTCCTGCTGCGCATCAATTCTATGCTCAGTTCTTGAATCCAATTAGTATACCAGTAATATAGATATCTCATATATCCATGGTTTAGTAACCGGGTTTGAGCACTGTCTCCAGGACTATGATCAAATAATGAATTCCCAGTTCAGTGTCTATTTGAAAAACCACTCAAAAAAATAAAACAATATCACACCTCCAATCTGCTTGAATCATCAGTGAGCGTCACATCTGCACCCGCTTTTGCAGCAACCAGCCCAGGCAACGAGGTCCCTGCCCCAAGCTGTAATATGATGAACAAAAAGAAGTAGATGTAACACTAATCAAACTGAACTCAAGCACAGTACGCAAAAATTGGCACCAAACAAACAACAGCTGCTACTGTTGCTGCTACGCGTCAATCCCAAACTAGTTTGAGTCGGCTATATAAATCCTTAATATTCATTCCGTTCCTTTAAACCTGTTCCAAGTCCATGCCTAAGAAAGAAAACAATAAGAGTTTTTAAGTTAATACACTGTCGGTTTAAGGAATTTTACACCATCCGATCACCTTTAGTTGTTTAGTGTAACCAGTCTTATTTCCAAAATTATATAAGTATCTAACATTTTAAGGAGACTTCCCTGTAAATATCATTTGGTTGAGCGGATAGTGTAAAACATGACAGTGTGTATAACTTAAACTCAATAATATTGTAATGCCCCATTTCGCTAGCTTTTAAATACATATTGCTTAATAATAGCAAGTAGCAACTACAATGATTAAAAAGCAAAAAGAGAAAAAGAAAAAAGAGACTTAGTGGGACCGAAGCCTAAGGGAATTAGAGGGGTAAAAGTTTTTTTCCTTTAGAAAGGTTGGTAAAGGTCTTTGTCTGAAAAAGTAAAGAGGGAAAAATGAGGTTTTAGCAAGAAAACCAAAGCAATTTAATTGCTTTAGGAGTTAGGCAACACACAGAACGTAGAAAGCCATAAAAAAATTCAAGGTTTTGCAATTTGCCATTCTCGAAACCAAGGTATTCAATTCTTCCAAATTTCCTATGGTTATTATCGTTAGGTGAAAATTTAGTCAAAACTCTTAAGTTCTCATTCTATGAAATTATTTTTATATGTAAGTTTAAGTATTCATTGAAATAAATTGATAGAGCTTTTGAGGTTCATATTTTCTAGTCATGGCAGAGAAGTTTTCTTAGAATGCCCATATGATAAAAGTTTATCTTTTAGTTAGTGCCAAAGTTAAGTGAGAGATTCTTCCATATCTTGTATTTAATTGTAGAATACATAATTGATGTTATGGGTCTAGAACCAAGGATTTATAATGAGGTCACTTTATCTTTTTGTAAAATCAGTTTACTTGAATTGATGGCGTCGTCATCTATATACCTTTGTGGAAGAATAAAAATATTTAGTTGAAAACTTTACTTGAATCGGTGAGGTGAGAGTTTCTAGATTTATAGCTAAGTAACAACAAGTAAGACTTAATAGCTTATGAATTGACATGGTTAAGCCTATTATTATAGATTTCGTGTTGTCAAATACTCGAAAAACTTGAAGAGACGAATTGCAGCTAAAGTTTTAAGGTGAGTTGAGGTTTACTTTCCGAGTAGGGAATTCCATTATAACCCTTGTGCTCCATATGTTAGCTAAAGCTAAGTCATGTCTTCTCGTGATCCAATGCTCAGTTCACTTATTCTTATTCAGTACGACATTATATGTGACATGAATACATGCTTATGTGTATTACCAATTGTTATGTGCCTTTAATTGTGATATTCACATTCAGGGGAGAAGTGGCCAACCTCCCCTAGCATGAGTGCCATGATGTCAGGGTTACCTACCCCACGCTCGCAGGTGCCAACTGTTTGTTGGGGAGATAGGCTGACACTCCCCCGTACGTGTTCCCAGATGCTCACATACGCAGGGCCATTATGCGTAACAATTAACTTTGCAAAGTTATATCTTAAAATATATATAACTCAGTTTCTATTTCAGATATCAGTTATGGGCTCAATTTCTACGTTAAGTTTCAGTTTTAGCTTACAGTTTAGCTTACAGTTTCAGTTTCCAGATTATTAATTGGTTGTAAAATTTTATATGATTTTCCGTATATCCCTTTTCTTTCTTATATTTTTCAGAAGGTCTCGCTCCGCCTTTTTAGGAGGTAGCCTATGAAACTTACTGGGTATCCTTTGGTGGTACTTAGCCCGTTTGGGCCTGCTACGTCGTGTGGCAGTTATTGAGGACGCAGGTAACGAGGCACGTGGCTAGAGGAAATATTCTGGATTCAGTTTATAAACTCCGTTGATTCATCCCAGCGATAGCGGACCCTTTTCAGACTATTATTTATAACTTTTTTTTTTACGTTTATTTTATTTCCGGGGATGCCCCGTAGGCTATGTATTTTAAATTTTATTTTTTTCAGATTCTAGAGGCTCATGACTTGTTAGTGGGTCAGTATTAAAATATTTTGGGATTTATCATTTATTTATTATATTTTATCAGTCAGGATTGCTCTAGTGGTAAATACCCTCCACTTCCAATCAAGAGGTTATGAGTTCGAGTCACCCCAAGAGCAAGGTGGGGAGTTCTTGGAGGGAGGGAGCCGAGGGTCTATCGGAAACAGCCTAACAAGGTGGGGAGTTTTTGGAGGGAGGGAGCCGAGGGTCTATCGGAAACAGCCTAACAAGGTGGGGAGTTCTTGGAGGGAGGGAGCCGAGGGTCTATCGGAAACAGCCTAACAAGGTGGGGAGTTCTTGGAGGGAGGGAGCCGAGGGTCTATCGGAAACAGCCTAACAAGGTGGGGAGTTCTTGGAGGGAGGGAGCCGAGGGTCTATCGGAAACAGCCTAACAAGGTGGGGAGTTCTTGGAGGGAGGGAGCCGAGGGTCTATCGGAAACAGCCTCTCTACCCCAGGGTAGGGTAAGGTCTGCGTACACACTACCCTCCCCAGACCCCACTAGTGGGATTATATTGGGTTGTTGTTATTGTTGTTGAGTCACACTCAACGAGTGGTAAGGGTTGAGTGCCAATCACGTCCCACCCCAGTTTGGAGCGTGACAAATATATTGAGGATTCATTATAAATCCACTAGTTTTACGATAGAGTTACTTAATGCAACCATCCTCATTTATTCGAGCTAAAGACCAACAAAAGGCAACGAAGTTATAAAATTTTCAATAAGTAATATAATAAAATGAGGTTCATTACCTCAACCACAGTAGCGCCAGTAAAGCGTGATTTTTGTTGCCATATGTACTCGGCAAGAATAATACCGCAAGGCCATATGAATAAACCGTACTCTTCTTTCATGTTCTATTTACATGCCAAAAAGAAGTTAGCTGTATTGAGTTTTTTCTCCTTTTTTGTTGTTGTTTGAATTGTTATATAATAGAGTGTTGAAATTAAAGAAATATACTAAAAGAGAGGAAAGACCTCGATGATGGTGACGGAGAAGCCGTCGTCGGTGTTTTCAGAATTTCCGAAATTGTGGCGAGAAAATGTAGTCATTTCTTCTTCAGCTGGAGATTTCGCCGCCGGTTCGCCGTCGTCCCCGTTCACTTCCATGCCGCCGTTAGGAACCTCCCAATTTGATTTTTTCCCCCCCTTGTTTGACCCCTCTGATTTGTTAACGGGAAAATAGTACCACTATGATTGACTTGTTTGATTTTAGAAGTAGATGAATACACGACATATAGGTCAATTCAATTTTTTATGTATTTTCTTCAATTGGAGGGATTCACATGACAAATGGTGTTTGAGATAGCTTATTTTATATGTGCATTATTAATTAACAATTATGAAGTTATTAAGATTGGAATTCATTTATTGTAACATTTTCACCTTTGAAATGTGTTTTTAAAGACGTATGATATTAAGGTTGGATAAAAGAATAAAATGAGTTTAAATGAGGGGTGTGCATCCGATTTTCTAGTTTGTTGTTGTATTACATTTTTGTTCAATTCAATTCATTTTTTGATTTGCTTTTTGACTTTACTTATTTGTCGCATTTTTCTTAGCTACAAGATTGAGCAAAATAGTGTTTATATCAAATTCTGAATGTACTACATCATATATTGAATGGATATTAACTAGTTTAATATTTATAATGGAATTTTAGTCAATGATCTGAAGTTTGACTATGACAGCTCAAACTTCAATTTGAAGCATGTCCAAAAATAAGATATCACGTATTACAATGCGAACACGAAATGCAGAAAAACACCAACTCCAACTCTGCTGCATTTTGCCACAATGTAGTTAGTTTTTGGAGAATGCTCTCCCGTTTTTTGATGCAAAATGGAGATTAATAGTGTCACTCCAAATTCTCCTCTATTATTATTTTCTATTATTTTATTATTATTTTTATTATTTAACTCTTTTAATTTATCTCTTTATATATACGTAATTATATTTCTGTAATATCTTTGTAATATTAATTTTACATCTTAACTTTGGCGTGTAATTTTGATAAATTAATTTTCGTGCATTTATAATTGTTATGTAAAATTATAATTTAATTTTATTATAAGTTATGACTGTACAAAAAATATATAATAATTTTAAAAAATGAACGGTGCAAATATAAAATATTGATGTTGCTAAAATTGAAAGGTACGAATATAAAATATTAGATGTTGCTAAAATTGAAAGGTGCGAATATAAAATATTAGATGTTGCGAATATAATGCAACAATTCAAGATGATTGGGAATGTCCACCTCTAACGGTGGAAATGGTAGTAAATGAAAATCAATGATTTGAATAATTTTTAGCTCGCCACAAAAGAATTAAGGACAAAGATGTTCATTTTGCACTTCGTAATGCATTAATAGATCATTCATTGGAGCATACTAGAGGGTGAAAATTGAATATTTTTGTAGTATTTAATTTAAATTTTACCATAATGTAATATGTATTTAATTATCTTGTATCTCAATGATTTCACTTTTATTTGAATTATCCGTTAATATATATAATGTATAATATTTGCTTACAAATTATATTATTTAAAAATTTATGATATAAAATAATTTTATATTAAATGGTTATATAAGAAAGGAATATAAATTATATGTGATGGATATGTAAAAAAAGAAAAAGAAAATTTCTTTAATAGAAATAAGAAAATAAAATTTAAATAAAGATAATAATATAATATTGAAGAGAGAGAATAATATAAAATAAAATATTCTTTTTTGGAGTAAAAAATGGAGTAATGATTTGAGTAACTTTATTCAATTTTTGAGGAGAAAATTGAGGCAAGGGTTGTAGGTGGTGGATGGCCTCACAAAAAGAATCTGATGTAGGGGGTGGGAGTTGCCACGTGGGCAGGAGGAAAATTTAGTGGGCATTTGGATACAAGAATTGTGAAATTTCGGAAAAAGTAAAAAAACTTCAAGTGATAATTGTATTTGAAAATTAGAGTTGTGTTTGGATATGAATATAATCTGAAACTATGTTTGAAATTTTGTGAGTGATTTAAATGAAAATTTTGAAAAATAACTGTTTGGAATTTTTCAATTTTTGACAAAAGTTTCGAAATTCAATTTCAAGTGAAATTTAAAATTTTCATGGCCAGACATTGGTTTCGGAAAAAAAAAGTAGAAAAACAAAATAATGGCCAACCATGTCCTTAGTTTGTTTAGTTTTTGGATTCACATTTTACGATTATAGTCGAGTAACGATAACTTAGTTTTAAAAAAAAGTATTATAGCTAAAGTTTTAAATACAGTCAACCCTCTTTATAAACAGTCTCATTTGTTCTTATATTTTTTAATTTTTATAGTGAATGGTTATTATACATCTATAACAACATTTGACGATTAAATATTTTTTGGTTGTTATATATAAAAATTATTATTTTTCTTTTTTTAATATTACATATAAAGATAAGAAAATTATTCAAATTAAAATCTCAAAATATATGCATATTTCACTAGTTAAATATTAAAAAAAATCAATACATTATTAATAAATTCATAATTAAACTTATAAAGATTTAAAATCTAAGGTAGACATTTTAAAGTTACTTTAAAAAATAAATTCTTTTAAGATTGATGGAAGAACTTTGTAATTGTAGCTTGTTTCGTAGATTTCATTCTCTTACTAGCAATATGACGCTCGAATTGGCGAAGATTTGTGTCCGACTTTTCAGCAAAAAGGTATCCAATAGCTTTTCCTTGAAGACAATCTAAGAGTTTAGCAGTTAAATTTTCTATCTAAATATTTTTTTGAAATTTGTTAAATGAAAAAGATATCATGTGTAAATCTTCAAATCTTATGTCTTATGCAAGATAGAAACTTTGTTTAGTGGAAAAGATTATGTGCATATTTTTAGAATTATTATTAGTAATCTTAAAGATTCTATATAACTGTTTAGAGGGGTAATTTTACAAAGAGCGTTCTGCTATATATATATGACCGTTGCTATTATAGGTAAAAGGCTATTATAGAGAGGTAAAATATAACACAAAAAATCAGTTATGAGGGAAACTTGGCTTTTATAGTGAATGACTGTTATATAAGGACGATGTTATAAAGAGGTCTGACTGTATGAGGTAAAGGCTTAAACATTACAATCTTATTCAATATGCAATTGCTTTTTAAAAATAACTAGCTTTAGTGTACGTATGTTGCACGTATTTTTTGTGACTTGGCTTTTATATTGAATGACTGTTATATAAGGACGATGTTATAGAGAGGCTGATTGTATGAGGTAAAGGCTTAAACATTACAATCTTATTCAATATGCAATTGCTTTTTTAAAATAACTAGATTTAGTGTATGTATATTGCACGTATTTTTTATGTCTACTAACAAAAATGAATAGAATTGAGAATAAGATTGAATTATGTGCAATTGACGTCAAGATAAATACAATATTTATTTAAATTAAAAATTAAATGTTACATTGGCGAAATAGTTGAATGCATAGTTATTGGGTATCTTCTGAACTTGCAAAGATTAAAAATTTATGTAGGTTAATTATATAATTTTTGTATATATATATATATATATATATATTATTTTTATTTTTTTTATGAAGATAGTATGGTATGTTGTGTTTTGTATCTGACCCAATATCTCTTTATAGACGATGTTCTTGGAGTAAAAATACTACTCTAAGTATTAAGTATTATATATACCATATAGTATGTATGATTATCTTTAATAAAGTGTTCTAAACTATATGCTTTTTTGGATTTTTAAGGTTGTTCGATCGAGTGAATAAATTATGATAAAATTTTCTTCTCACTTATTAATTAGTACTTTTATCTCCCTCTTCAAGTTCGATTTTCCCTTCTCTACTATATTTATTTTATTTTTATGCTTCTCATGGTTTAGTAATAGACTAATGCTTCTCTAATGATTTTATTTTATTTTTATGCTTTTATGAAAGACAATAACATATAGTAATACACTAATGTTAATAAAGCTGTTACAATTGGTTTTATATTTGCTGGAATAATTCTTTCCATAATTAATTTTATACTTGATGGACAACATCTCTTAATTCGTATCTCAAGTTGATTAAAAACTAATATCTAAATATTAAAAAAATAAATAAAAGATATTCTTAAAATATACTTCATGATTCTTAAGTGTTTAATTTTAAGACAATATTTTTGAAGAAAAGCTTTCATTACTATTCCTAACATTTTAAAAACTTAGAATCGTGATAGTCATACAGTTTAAATAAGAAAAAATATTTATAGAAGTAAAATCTTACTTAATTTAAAATTCCTAAATATTAGGAGTTTTTACATAGTTCAAATAAGTAAGGATATAATAAATAAAATTTAGTTGATCTTAAAGTCCTACATATTAGAAAAATAATTAAAATACAATAACAATTCTGTCCCATGTGAAATCTATTTTTCAAGGGTAAAAAAAACGAACGACATTTCGCTAAGGGTTTCGTGCTTTTAATATAGTACTAGTTTCTATGAACCTGCGTTGCACGATAACAATTGCACGTTGATTTTCGAGAGCTAAAATTTTGACATTCATACTTTTTACGCAAAATCTCAATTAATTATTTATAGATATTAAGGAACCAAAAATTAAATTTACCTAAAATATTATATATATGAATGCAACAGTTGATGTGAAAGAAAATGTAACAATCTTCAAATGTTATTACACTTACATTATACTTGAATTTAAAATAATTCGACATCACGTCTGAACCTGAAAATGATATATGTATTAATAGTACGGACATAAAAAATATAACCATATCTTACCTTATACTTCTTTATATATGATATTTTTGGGTATGTTCCCTTATGATACTTTGACTGCTTGTTATGATTGGAACTCTTATTGTCGATATTGATATTCCTTTTGAAAATGCGACATATAATAGTCAATGTAATAAAATATGTTGCATCAAACATAGTCCAACGCTTGGAAATATTTGACTATGTGTTATTTTCGGACAAATTTAAGAGGATATCATTCATTTTCCGTGGTAAAAGTTAAATTTTATATAAGGTCCCCATAAGTATTTTATCCCAAATAACTAATTCTGCTTCCTAATATTTAGCACCATCACTCTATTATATTGTTTGCATCTTTTTTAGTCCCTTAGATATAAAAAAGAGTTGTTACAAATAGTATTATAGAAAGAATAAAATGAACATAATCCGCTCATAATAGTCTAGAAGTAATATTCATACATAACATATAAAAAGATCAATTTCAGAACGTGTGCACGCGATATACATTGAAATAAACCAACGAACCTTCGAACAAAAGAGCAGAAGCTGGATAGTATTGCCAGAGAAATTGCTTATATTTGTAATCTTAGAGCTCCACATGGAGTTAGGAACATAGCACAACAACTTATGTTTTAGCAATAACTTTCTTTTAGGGATGCTATTTGAGTAGCTGAGATGTATTTGGATAAAAGTTGTGATCGCTTAGTTATTGTTATGTATTTCTTCATGGTGATTAATAAAATAAATTTAATTACACAAAAAACAGATCAATTTCCTTTTTTAATGCAGAAAGACTATTATAAGACCAAATTAGAGCAATATGAAAATAGAGCAATTGATTTTTTCTAAAATATTTATTTCATATTTTCTCAGAAATAGTTCACAAAGTTTTAAATGACGTCCTAAAGCTATGCAATCAAAATTTACAATCAAATTTTTGATTTGTAAAATATATTTCTCACATCAAAATTTGGTTTTGAATCATTTGCAGTGTATTATAACTGTTTGATTCTTTTGACTTTCTTTCACTCCAATATTAATTTTATATATTATCATTAATTCGTTCACAACACTAATCGCAATAAATGAATAATAATGTCAAAAATTAAATTACACGTAGTTATATTCCTGCGGTGTTTGATCTCAGTTTTCATAATTTAATTTTATTGAAGTAAAATATTGTCATTTTAAATTTAAAAAATAAATAAACAAATAACGACTAAGCCAAGCGTATTAGGTTTTGTGCTTATTATGGTTAGATTGTAAATTGAGTAATAAATATAGCTTGGAGAAATTTTTTGTCTTATTTTATTTTGGTTTGAACGGGTTGATTTCTTAGAGTTCAAAGGCAATTGGTATTTGGTAGTAGAAATTAAATTCTGATTAGGATCGGTATAAAGGAGTCTTTTATTCAATTATGGAATTGTTTCTTTCAAGGAAAATTTTATATTTTAGAATAGATTGAGTCCCAACAGAAAAATATTACTTAGTCCTAACCCAAAATTATATTTATACCCATCATTAAATTGCTACAAAACGGAAATATTAACTTTAAAGGGCAAAAAGGTTGATCAATTTATCGGGGATATTTTTGTCTCTCAACATTTAGCTTCCTAACATTCGTGTTTTTATAATAAATATATAAGATAAATGGATATAAATATAGATATAGATAGATAGTAACTTCTAGATTTTAAATATATATATATATTGGTATTAAAATTAAATAAAATACATCAAAATCTTGAAAGACAAAGTAATATATGGAACTCTATTGCTGAATTACCAAAATAAAAAATAACGAAATATTTAGATTCGACTCGATAACGAAAAGGATCACCAAAATCTTGTGCTAAGAATTTACTGATTCATGGGTATAAAAAGAAAGGTAGGTAATTAAGTCACAATCCAATGAAAGTTAAGTGATGAAATAATTGCCAGCTTGGACCAATCAAACCATGCCGGTGAAACTGCCTTATTCACTGCATACAGCACTAGGGTAATTTCGTAGTTTTATTATATTCTGTACAACAATCCGAGTTGCTTTTCTCTACTGCTAAGCAAAGCAATAGGTAGAGAGAGAAACACAAAGGAGAGGAGAGAGAAAACTCGTCTCTCTGAGCTGTGTGTTGAACAAGCCGAGTGATCGTCTAAATCACCTTCTTTTGCGGCTTTTGATTTTTAGTCAGTTATACTCTCTTAACGTTTTATTTGCATTTTTCGGTTTCTCTGATTCTATATAGTACTAATCTGCTTAATCTCTCACTCTTTGTGTAGAAAATTTTGATCGGTTTATTTATTTTAGGAATAGTCAATCAACTAACGGATTTTCAAGTGTAGAGACTAATTACTTCGATTTTGGGAGATTACTTTTTATTTTTGGAAGCGTTTCGATTAACAGAAAGAAACCCTAGTTTTGATGGCTACAGCGGCTCCAACTCCGGCTCATCATTCTCACCGGAATACTACCCCAGACACCGGCGCCGGCGCCGGCGCCGGTGGTCTCAACAGCCCACAGTCTCGCCGATCATCAGCTGCTGCACGTGGCGTTTCCTCGACTTGGACGCAGATTGTTCGCAGTGGCGATTCAGAATCCACCGTTGTGGCGGGTTCCTCTTTACCTCCTCCACCTTCACTTTCTCCTCCGGTATCTTCTGAGCAAATCGTTCACTCTGATTATTCGTTTTCTGATGACGTGGCTACAGAAGCTCAGCTTGAGAGCTCCGACAATAGCAACAACAATGTGTCTAAAAAGCAGGCTTGGAGTAAACCGTCAAATGGTGCAGCTGAGGTCAGTCCAGTTATGGGTGCTGTCTCTTGGCCTGCTCTCTCTGAGTCCACTAAGGCTTCACCTAAATCGCCGTCTTCTGATTCACTCAAAGCTCTCTCCGACGGATCAGTTTCCGTATCACAGGTTATTTAAACCCCATTCATCAATGCTACTTATCTGTATACGTTGCTCTAACTGATTTTCGGAATGAAATGGATATCGAGGATTAATATAGCCGATCCCAACTACCTTAGGATCGAGGCGGTAGTTGTTGTTGTTTTTGCTCTATCTGCACTCTGATTCTCAGTTTTCGTTGTTTTATTGTGTATGTGTCATATACTTATGAGTTAATAATCCACAGTAATTCTAAAAGCTCATGTATTTGTAAATGTGTGGATTTATAGGGCACGGAAATGGCATCATCTTCTCATAGGCAAGCTAATTCTAACAATGCAAACCCTAATTTAATGTCGAACCATGTTGGTCCCACCCGCCAAAGGTCTATGAAGCGAGGAGGTGGTTATTCAAACCATAATGCATCAGCCAATGGAGGTTTTCCTCAGCAACAGGCGCAGGGTTCTGAGGTGGAAATAGTAACTAATAATTCTGGGAAGTCAGGAAATTTTGGTGCCGAGTTTTCTTCAAGGGATACTAGTCATAGGGATGGTGGACAGTCGGGAGGATTTGGATCTCAATCACATGGTGGAAATGAGAACCAACATCAACGAACCTCAAACAGGAGAGGCAATGTTGATCCACATCCCCGTGGAGATGGCGCATATAATCATGGTTATGGGGGTAGGCGTGATCAGGAACGTGGAAATCAGGATTGGAAACCTCACAGAGGTTGGGGGAATAGGGATGCACCCATGCAGCCACATAGAGTTCCAGCGAGGCCATTTATGGGAGGCCCACCTCATACTTCTCCACCTTTTATACCTCCACACATGCCTGTGCAGCCCTATCGAGCTCCTATTGTTTACCCTGGTGAGATGTGTTACTTCTTGAGTTATTTTGCTGAGTTACTAAGCCCATTTTGTCTCTCTACTGATACTTTAACCAATATGCAGAAGTTGCACCTGTATATTATTTTCCAGGTCCGCTGCCTGATTCATTTAGAATGCCTATGCTTTCTCCTGTGCCACCTTTCTTCTTTCATGTTCCAGATCCCCAGATGCAAACCAAAATAGTGAACCAGATAGATTATTATTTCAGGTAGACACTTCTTTGTTCTATTTGCTTGTAATTGCTCCTATTTAGTAGCTGCCATAAATGTATTGGTATTCTAAACTCTTCTTGTCCCTATATTTTGCTGTAGTGATGAAAATTTAATTAAGGATACGTTCTTGCGACGGAACATGGATGAACATGGATGGGTTCCNTTATTTAGTAGCTGCCGTAACTGTATTGGTATTCTAAACTCTTCTTGTCCCTATATTTTGCTGTAGTGATGAAAATTTAATTAAGGATACATTCTTGCGACGGAACATGGATGAACATGGATGGGTTCCCGTTATGCTAATAGCAGGCTTCAAGAAAGTGAGTTGGTTTGAATTAAATGCCATTTCTCATAAGGGGAGTTCTGTTAGTACATATTTGTTTACTTGATCCTTAGTGCTTGGCTGATATTTTCTGGTGTACGAGTAGCTCATTCTTTTGAAAATGCATCTCCATATCTTAATTCATTTTGTTGTTGGCAACTGTTAACAATGTTTCTGAGCCTGGTTGATGACCTTAGCTCCTTTTTAGGGTAGGAAGCGCCAATGATATCTTTTCCTCAAACAAGAGGCCTCTCTGTTTCTATCTCTCTTATCAGTGTTGCTTTCTTCCCCTCTTAAGAGTATTATGGGGAAGAAAAAGAAAGTGAACTAAAACTAATGTGAACTTCTAACTTCTTCCTTAGGGAGGAAATATTCCTGCATAGTTTTGACCCTTTTGACTGGATAATAGAATGATATTTGGAGAAAGAAGCAGTATCTCTGGATGTATAGGCTTGCTGATTGCAACTATGATTCGTTTTGTAGTGAGCATGTCTTAAGTGTATGTGAAGTTTTATACGCGTGCTGTTGTTGGTTGTTGATTTTAAATGCTGTATTTTTTGCACATAGCTGTTCTAATTTTGGTCATTTGAAGGCTGGCTAATATAGTGATATGTGGTTGGACTGAATCTCTGGCATTGCAATCGATTTCATCAGTAATTATTAATTTGTTGTTGCGGTAAATGTGTCAAGCTACATCAGCGTCCTTATATAATGAACTCTTGAGCGCATGAAAGTGGTTAACAGATTTGTGTTTTGAAATTGAGTGATTCTAGCAAGAGGTCAGTGACCACCATATTGTGTTTTCATGTGCACTCTTGGTTAATATATTATCATGTAAGTGCGTGCTGATGTAATAATTTCATTAAACCATTGGTTCTGCTTTTACTGTCATTTGTTCCACGACGTAATTTTTCTCCACTAGGTTAGATGTCTATCTCCTTATTTATTCTTATTGCTTGTAGGGCAAGCCAATTAGGATAGGCGCAGTACTTGATCACAGTCATGATAAGTAGAGTTATTCAGGGTACTATGCATGTCAGCATATGCATAATTTGAATACTTAGCTTTACAGGTTATTCTGTTATTTGTGGAGTCTATAGTTGTTAATGGTTGGTTGATTCTGAAGTTCTTATTCCCTTTACAGATAGTTTTTATCTGCAGATCCCACATCCTTATGATTGATAGTAGATATTAGGATGTGTCTTTAAACAAGTAGCTGTGCTGAGTAGCAGGTAGACAGAATGTGTTTTGAGTGCAAAAGGGATCCTAAGTACTCAAGACCAATCAGATGAACAAGGTTATGTAAAAAAGTCACGAGCATAGCACTCTTTGGAGTGTGGACTGTGGAAGTTATAGCTATGTGGGTGAATCTCTCAAATGTGACTCTTTAGGTTAATTCAAGGGTTTATTGCTTTCAGAAAGGGGCGAAGAAGGCAGGAATACTTATAGTGATACAAGAGAGGTGATTTCTGTGTGTAAGTAGCATCAAGTTCTTTGTGTTTAAAATGGAAGAACAAAAATGTTTTAACCTGAATAATGCAAGACTAGGGCTGGCAAGTGGGCCGGTCCCGGGCCAAGTGGGCCGGTCCAAACGGTCCCGGGCCCGGTCCGGTCTCAAATTAAACGGGCCAAACGGGCCCGGCCTAAATGGCCTTTTTGTAGGGACCGGCCCGGGACCGGGACCGTTTGGTCCCGGGCTAAACGGTCCTGGCCCGCGGGCTAAACGGGCTAAGTGGGTCCAACATATTTTTTTAAAAAAATAAAAAATTAAATAGATATTAGAGACAAAAGGATGTTAAAAAAAATATCTAAGACAATGCTTTAT